AGTGGGTCCACTTTTATTAGGCATCTGCCTGTTTTGGTTTCTCCACTATGAATAAAAGAATACTACTACTACAGGGAAGAGATGGAATAAGAAAAACAGGGAGCCGGAAGAGGAAGAGTACACGAAGGCGTTCAGACTAACATGTGTATCATACATACCAACACACGTCGGGAGAACTGTCCAAAATCCGTTTGCCAAACACGTGACCTGCTGCACTCCATTGGTTAGATTGTATGGAGGAATGCACTGCACATTCACAATGCTGCCTCTCTTGCTAGGTGTTGATGACGTCACATTCACATTCAGGTTGAGAGTGTGTAGTGCGCTACAGCGTGGTGCTGCAGAATTAGAATGATAGTGAAAAAAGTGGAAGCAGAGTTTTCACATTATCGTTATATAACAACCATATCCCATTCCGCTTGGCAGCCTACACTAGTACATGACACGTGCTTTTTATTATTATTTTCTTTTCTTTGTTTTACTTCACAAAATCCAAACGGGGGCTTCATTTTCAGCTGAGGATGCACTCAGTGTGCTGACAGTGCTCAACACCGCGGAAGCAGAGCGTAATACCGAGCAGCCAGTGCAATTAAGGCATTTTTGACGCTACTTAAAAAGTGTGATTGCCTTTGTTGTTCAATGCTTCATTTTCAAAAATAGTTCTTTTCTTTGCAGTGCGGTTGACGTAATGAAGTTGGGTGCTGCTACCCTCCCCTATAGCCCGTCAATGAACTTGTGTCCTCGTTATTCTAGTGGGAAATGTTTGAGAATGCGTACCTTGAAGAATGACAGAAACAGTCGTAGATACTGGCTGGGAGGAACTTAAACAGCTTTGAATCACATCGTGAGGTCGTGCAGGAATTGAGCCCGCTGCAACACAGTCGAAGTTTGTAGTATACCAGGTGTTACAGGTTACGTTGAAGGCAACACCGGACGTATCACGCTCTGTTATTACGAACTGTGGGTCGTTCAGCTTGAAGCTGAACGTCGAATGTACGATATTCGCCGATGTCATTGTCCGAATCAGCTCAGAATCCGGAGATAGTGTTGTGTTCCAAGATACTTTGAGAGGGAAATTGCCACTTGACATGCATGATATGGTGTGATTGCCATCCATGTAAACTAGTGGCAGTGACGTAGGGAATGAGGACCGAATCTGTCGAGCTACAAAAGGGGGCAAGAGAACAGCAATGGTGTTATTCTTTCATTCCATGATTTAGTGACGCCAATAAGGACGATTGATAAGTGTGATAGAACTGATACTAGCGAGAAACAGCTAGCTGGAAATTACCCGGGGAGGCAAGAAGCAATGTATCATGCAAAACAAGCGGGATGATCGAGTTAATACACGTAAGAGATATCAGAAACCAGTGGGGGGGGGGGTGTGCACCGAGCAGGAACAGGTACTGCTCAAGGAAGACTAGATGCATTGTTTTGGAAAGCATTTCTACGATGCTGGGTTGTGATGTCGATGGGGAGTGAGTTGTAGAGGGTGAATGCACAGTTGATGCGCTATGCACGGTATCATTAAAAAGCTGCCCTTGATGGACAACATGAGTAACATCTCAAACTTAACCTTACCCACAACATTGAGCTGGTACAACTGTGGTGAGTAGCGGGCGTCGGTTCGGCAATGGTACACTCCAGTGTATGATGCGTTGAGTGAAGGGTGTGCTGTGGTGTTCAAAGGGGCCCTGCCAAAACCGGTGAACGAACCGGTCACACCCAGCACCAGGCTACCATCAGTCTTCTCTAGTCGAATGAACGGTGCTGATCCACTGGTCACAATACACACCGGCAAGTAGCTGAGAACGCCAGCGGTAGTCTGCCCATCGCCAAATGTCATTCTGAATGGCGCTGCTTGCCCTGTACCAGCAGCAATGAGAACGGGATATTGACCTGCACGGGCGTAGACAAGATTGCAGTGGAACAATGCCAACACAGTTCTAGTTGTAAATGGCATAAGTTGATCCACATTCTTCCAGAAAGTATCCATTGTATCCTCAAGCACAGTTGTGCTCGTTTCCTATTCGATATTCCCTGAGTGGCGCGGCGGTAGAGAAGGGGGAGGGGGTGGGCATATTTCTAACTGCAATTGCTTGAAGATATCAAAATGTCTCGGGACTCCGCTTGCCTGGTCAAGGACAATGTAGCTTAGAATGCGTGCGCAGTCAGGAGCATCTTTCTCACAATGATTAAACAATAGTATGAGATAGTGGCTGCGAAGAGCATCACTGAAGTCATGCTCTTCGGGCACATTCTGCCTCATCCTTACTAAAGCTCAACAGATTTTTCGCATCTCTTCGCACTGCGCCAAGATGAGTTCTGAGCGTCAATTCTTCACTGTCGACGAGGCCCTTGACCAAGTTCTGAATGGAATGGTTGAAGAGTTTGTCGCTGAGCCTGCGGAGATCGATAATTCTGACGACGATGTCGATAATGTCGTTTCAGAGAGCGAGAATGTCGCCTCGACATCAGCGCTGGCCATCGATGACAACCTGCCCGAGCAATTCCCTCCTGGTGCTCCGTCGTTGTTGATGCATACTGACACCGGCCCTGGGATAGCTGGTGGTGAGCCAGAACTTCTGACTCTTGAAATTTCGAGCGACGAGGAGGACGTGGAACATTTCTTAGATCGGGAAATGGATGTCACCTCTGCTGCGTCAAATTTTATTAGTAATGTCGTCTCGGAAGGTTGAGAACGAACTGCCTCTTCTATCCTCGCCACGCCACACCTCAAAACGAACTAGTCAGTGGTTTTTCTCTAGAGCTAGAGAGAGAGCTTTTCATAGTTTACTTCAAGCGGCGACGGAAGAACTCATAATGGAGAACTAACACTGACAACGAATGACTGACGACTGTCAACAAACGTCTGACTCTGACAACGAATGACTGACAACTGACGACGAACGTCGGACAACTGACTCTGACAACGAACGTCTGACAACTCACGACGACCGTCGGACAACTGACGACGACATGGCAAAAGGAAAACATGATATCAGAAATTGGTGCCCTCGTCAGCACAAAAGGTGGTGTACTCAGCACAAAAAGGTGCACGTGTCAACAACAAAGCAGCGCAGCAGCATGTACGGGTCAGCAACAAAGCAGCGCAGCAGCATGTAGATCTACGGGTCAGCAGCACAGAGACACAAATACAGCAGCAGCTACGACGAAGAGACAACACGTGCAGCCACATGTACACACAGAGACACAAATACAGCAGCAGCTACGACGAAGAGATAACACGTGCAGGCGCAGGTACAACACTATCCCCTACCAAAAAAAGACATCCACTCCTGTGGATGGAAGCAAAAGTGAAGTGTATAAAAAACGGAAGAAGACAGAAAGACAGGGGAAATGAAATATGAAGCAACATAAACAGGCGACAATAAAACACAAAAGAGGTGGGGTCACAACAGTTGAATGCATGACGAGTAGGCCAGGAGGGTTAACACCAGTCGGGAGCCCCGCAAAACTGTGCATCAATCAAACGGAACCTGCAAGCAACAGATTTTGCAGAGGACCCCCGCTGGCGAGCTGTTCGACCTGTAGTTGTCCCTTTGGATCTTGATTATTTGAACAGCACCAACCTAGTACGCCACCCACCCAACAGTCAAGACAAACAAAAAGTACACAATGCATGAGGAAACAGGGTTAAGCCGACGGACCCAGCGACGCTGCCAAGAGCGGCGAGACCGACAGCACGCACCGACCGAGAAGAAGACTGGGGCCGCAGGACGCACACTGGCCGGCTGTCCGAAAACCGATGGCGCTACAGAAACTCCGAGAATCACAGGACACACACAGAAAGAGAGAAGGACTGACGCAAACATCTCAGCCATCACCAAAAGTCAGAAAAGCACACGAAGGAAGGGAAGAACAGCCAGGAAGAACACGTTGACTGAAACAGGAGCAATTAATCAGTGAGGACACCATTGAGGACACACAAACAAATCGGTTACCAATACGCAAAAGATAAAGAAGAAAAACCACAGGGCGCTACCCTGAATAACCACAGGTCTCTAACCTGAAAAAACCCACAGGGATTGAACCTGAAAAAACCACAGGGATTGAACCTGAAAAAAACCACAGGGATTGAACCTGAAAACCCACAGGGATCGAACCTGAATAACACGGAACTTATAGTACATCCGCTCACAAAACCGAAAAACCGAAGAAAAAAAACTGTCTGGCACCGACTGGGACGCACAAGGGCCAGCCAGCAACACACGGAAACCATAACACCCGCAAGGCAAACCGATACAAAAAAGCGCAGGATCCCTGCAGACCACCAAGCAGACCGTGGCTCACCATGATCAGACGCCCACCCAGACGAACTAGAGAAACCCATATGCCGAAACACAATTATTACAAAACCACACGCTCACAAAAAAAATTCAACCTGGATCAAGAACGAGAATCCTACATGAAGTTCACACCTCCCACCAAACCGGAAGCCAACAGCTTTCCTACTTTGTTGACAGTGCATGACCATGATGACCGAGCCTGACAACGCTCTACACCATGTACACAGAACATGGAGAAACTACTACTAAAACGGTAAAAACACGAAACAAAACAATATGGATCGACTACATACGAGGCAGCACCTCGAGAACGTTCAGGTGGACATCTAAACAAATCACGCGACACAGTCACACTATCGGCGCAGTCCGACGGCAACTCCGTGACAAGCACAAGTGCACAACACAAGACGAGATCAAAGCTACCCATGCTGAATGCACGACGAACATGCAAACACAAGTTCCAGATTCGAACGAGTAGCGCACGAACAGAAGTTTGAAATTTTCATACACAACAGTACAGTACAGGGTAGTCAGAGCGACACAACTAACACAACGGGGCGAACTTCCAACGAGCATGCAAGACTACACTACGAGTACACACTCGAACACAAGAGAACAAGGTTCCACGGAATTCCTGCCGGGACCCGAGTCACCCGACGCAAAACAATTATTTGAAAATTCGAAATCGAATACAAGGTACGGCAACACATTACGCAGAGCAGACAATTACAAAGGCATGCTCACCTGAGTAGGAGCTCCGAGGATCTTGGAAAGGGTTGAACAGACGCAGCAAAGCGGAGCCATGGCGAGAACGCGAAGAGGAAAACGAAAAAACACCGGCCGGAGAGCGACGAGCTTCAGGGTCGTGGGTTCGATTAGTTGGGCGCCAAATGTCGTCTCGGAAGGTTGAGAACGAACTGCCTCTTCTATCCTCGCCACGCCACACCTCAAAACGAACTAGTCAGTGGTTTTTCTCTAGAGCTAGAGAGAGAGCTTTTCATAGTTTACTTCAAGCGGCGACGGAAGAACTCATAATGGAGAACTAACACTGACAACGAATGACTGACGACTGTCAACAAACGTCTGACTCTGACAACGAATGACTGACAACTGACGACGAACGTCGGACAACTGACTCTGACAACGAACGTCTGACAACTCACGACGACCGTCGGACAACTGACGACGACATGGCAAAAGGAAAACATGATATCAGAAATTGGTGCCCTCGTCAGCACAAAAGGTGGTGTACTCAGCACAAAAAGGTGCACGTGTCAACAACAAAGCAGCGCAGCAGCATGTACGGGTCAGCAACAAAGCAGCGCAGCAGCATGTAGATCTACGGGTCAGCAGCACAGAGACACAAATACAGCAGCAGCTACGACGAAGAGACAACACGTGCAGCCACATGTACACACAGAGACACAAATACAGCAGCAGCTACGACGAAGAGATAACACGTGCAGGCGCAGGTACAACAGTAATGTCGAGTCAGCTGATCGTGCAGCTGATGTTGACACCGAGGCTACCTGTGAAGCCAGCGCTGGCACTGCTGCTGTTGGTGTAGCCACTGGCGCTGGTACTGGTGCCGGAGCTGCTCTGGGGGATGCCACCGCTCCTGCTACTGCACCTTTTTCTTGTAGCTGCAGCAAAAATTGCCTGGCAAATTTTCCTGTGGAAGCCGTACAGAAGAGTCGCCTGACTATGATGGAAATGGAGGACAACGAGCGTGACATGTTTAGAATGGGCATGCTGTTAGCTACTCACTACTGTACACCAGAAACACGGCCAGGAAAACGAAAACATGAGTTTTACCAGTATTGGTACGATGGACAGGAGGTGTGCAGTGGGGCATTTCAGTACATCTACAACATCGGAAAAAAGTTGTGGCGGAACCTGAAAAAGCACCTCCAAGAGAATGGTCCTGTTCCTCGTCGCCACGGCAATATCGGTAGACGGCCCGCTAACGATCTCTACAGGAAATACCCATCCCCTACAAATTTCAACAAATACAAACACCAACGTAACTATGTAAAATGCCCTTCCAGATCCTGCCATCGCTGCTACATCCGCAACCTCCGTGCCACGATATCTCCCACAAACCCTCGCCTCCCATCCCTCCCTGTGCTCATTCGTCAACTGCGAAATCCTACCAGCGCCCGGGTCATACCTTCGAAGATGGTGGGCCCCAATGGTCGAACAAGCACCTCTCCGGCATCCATTGGTAACTTATTGAACCGCCACTTCGTCAGTGCCGGCTTACAGGTTGACCCCGATGCTCCTATTCCCACTATTTCCTCCATACCTCCACCAGCAACTACATTGCAATCCCTGATCATCACCTCATCGACTGTTCACAAGTATATTGCAAGACTGCCTCTGAACAAATCCCCCGGAGCTGACAGGATCACCAATGAGATCCTCAGGAAACTGAGCTACTCAATTGCCCGCCCACTCTCCATTCTTTTTAACCTTTCCCTCTCCTCCGGCACATTCCCGTCACGATGGAAGTCAGCCACTGTCATTCCAGTGTACAAAAATAAAGGCGACAAGAACAACCCGTCTAATTACCGACCAATCTCCCTCCTGTCCTGCGTCTCCAAGCTGCTAGAGAGAATAGTGTACGACCGCTTGTACGACCATATCTCCCCTCTTCTCCACCCCGCACAATCTGGCTTCCGCCGTAAGGACAACACATCCCTGCAATTGTCCCGCATAATCCAAGACCTCTGCTCCCTAAAAGACCAGCGGCAGGTCTCCTGCATCTGTTTCTTCGACCTCTCCAAGGCCTTCGACACCGTGTGGCACAAGGGCCTGATCGCCAAACTTCGTGCCCATGGTGTCTCCGGCTCCTTACTCGCCTGGATAACTAGCTACCTCTTGGACCGAAATCAGTGCGTCACAGTAAATGGAACCTTATCTGACCCCGAGTCTGTGACATCCGGAGTGCCCCAGGGCTCCATTTTAGGTCCCCTGCTCTTCCTCACATACGTTAATGACCTCCCCTACTCAATTCCCAATATTTCCTTGTTTGCAGATGATACCACAGTCCTTGCTTCCTCCCCATCTCACGCCACCCTGTACCCCAAAGTTCAGGACTGTATCAACAACATTGTTCACTGGATGAGCACTTGGTACCTTAAGCCAAATGTGACCAAAACCGAGCTCCTCCTTTTTCCCCCTCCCACAGATCCAGTGCCCATCTTCCACTTTCCCGATGATCCCGGTCACCCTATCTCTGTAGCGCCCCACCATAAACACATTGGCATTGTCATAGATTCCGCCCTCTCCTGGTCTCACCATGCTGATCAAGTGTCGTCCAAAGTATGCCGATCTGTCGGCATAATGTCAAGTCACTTGTCCCTTTTGCCCCAAAATTGCCGGATTAATTTCTATAAATCATACATTCTTCCCCTCTTCACGTATGGCTTCCCTGCCTGGTCCACCATTAACAAAACCCACATAGGTAAATTAGAAGTTCTCCATCGCCGTATACTGCGCATCATACTTCGTACTGATCGTTATAATATATATATATATATCACAAATCTAGACTTGTATGCTGCTGCATCCACTACCACTCTGCAACATTACCTTGATGCTTCCAAGTGCACCCTAGCACATTCAATTTTTTTGACCAGCACCCTGCTCATTTACAGTCCCTTAATTGGTTCAATTCAGGTGCCACCACCCGAAGCTGCGTTCGTCTCCCCCTAGCTAGGTCTACCCTATTCGTAAATTCCCCTTTCTTTTCCTCCTACTCCACGTGGCTCCAACTGCCTCCCAGTGTTAGACAAGCCCCAGATATGCCCAAATTCCGTACCCTCGTCAGACAGCACTTCAGTATCTCCCAGTAAACAAAGTCACAGTCACCACTTCCGCTGCATAGCTCGCTGAGCATACCATTGCTTTTTAAGTTGCTAATCCCTTCCCACTTTGTGTACGTGCTCTTCATTTTCTTTTTTTCTCTTCTTCCGTGGTTGGTCTCACCCTCTCCTCAATTCAATTGGCTGTCTTGACATGCCACGAGGTGCAGAAATAAATACATAAATAAATAAATAACGCGCTCCAGTTTCCGGATGTGAAGAGATGTGTGGAGTTCCTCAAGGCCTATGTAGAGGAGTTTGGTCTACCTCATCCTGCTCCAACTCATGGAAGAGCCGGAGTGTCTCCCACTTACCTCCCCGCATCACAGACTTACAAGTCGGTGCACAAAATCTATGCGGATGCGTGCATCTCTGACAACTGCCGAGCAGCAGGCCTACAGTCATTCCGAAACATTTGGAGTGCCTGCCTTCCTCATGTAAAATTTATGAGTGCCCGCACAGATGTCTGCCAACCCTGTAAATTCCTCCGCCGTAAAGTAGTTTCTGCTGCAACGGAAGCTGACAAAACTGAGGTGCTCGACCGGTTCTCACAGCACATTGCAGGAGCGCAAGCCGAACGCAAGTATTACCGTGATGCCACTGTAGCTGCACACAACGAACTATCTGGTGTTGCAGCTGCACCCGTCCCCCCATGTCAACCCTGCTCCCAACCTCTCCTCGCTTCCCACTACACTTTTGATTTTGCACAGCAGGTCACTCTCCCTCATCTTGCTCGTCAGCCTGGTCCTCTGTAGTTTAAACACCAAGGAAGGTGCAGCTGTTCGGCGTGTGCAATGAAGGCATACCTAGACAGGTCAACTTTTTGCTTGATGAAACGCAAACCATCGGAGCAGACGGCACAAAGAGCCATGGTGCGAACACGGTCTCTGTCTCTCCTGCATGCCTTCTTTGCTAAGTACGGCTCGGGCGAGGAGAGTTGTGTCCTTCATGCAGACAACTGTGCGGGGCAGAACAAGAACCGCACAGTTGCCTCATACTTGGCGTCGCGAGTCATTGTTGGCCTACAGAAAGAGATCCATTTGGCATTTATGGTTGCCGGGCACACACGTTGCCTTGTGGATGGCTGTTTCGGTTTAGTAAAGAGGAAGTACCGCCGCGCCGACACCTTCACTCTGCCTCAACTCGCCAGTGTTGTCAATGAGTCGGCATCATGCAATGTTGCTCATACTGATGCTGTCACTTGGTACCAGTGGGATTCCTTCCTGGACCAGCACTTCAAGCGAGTTCCTGGGATATCAAGGTACCATCACTTCACCTTCTCATCTGCAAGTCCAGGCACCGTGGAAGTGAAGGAAAGCGTTGAGTCAGTTCTGCAGCAGGTCACCATTCTCAAGTGCGATCCAAGTGTGCTCGACTCTTCATCTCTTCCTCCTGTGATTCCTAGTGCTGGCATGTCTGAGGACCGACAGAGGTACCTCCACAAAGAAATTCGTCCCTTTGTGGCCGAACCCTAACAGGATGAATTGTGTCCACCCCTGGCGTAACGATCTTTGACAGTCCGCCACCATGTGCGTGTCTGTTGGTGACTTTTCTCCTGATCAAAACCCTCTACAGAATTTTATTTTTGCATCCATGTATTTGTACCTAGTCTAAACATACTGCTGTCATGCTGTGGAAACATCTACTGCCCGCTTGTTGTTACATTGGTGACATAGACCGATCTAATGAAATGCATCGATTTCTGGAGCGTAATTTGTGGCTCAATGCTGTTCAAGAAAACGGCCGTAACTCCGTGATGGTACCGTATTTTTAGGTTCTGTTTAAAAAAAAATGATTTCTATGGACGTTCTGCATGAGTTGGCAGTGCTTACCCAAATCCGCCAAAAATGTCATTTGGTACCTTTTCCCTTGGTGAGGCTCAATATGAGGGGTGTATTCCCCGAAACACTGTGTATTGAACGGGGAGTGGTGCTTTCTTGCCGATTTGCCGAGTGGAAG